AAATAAGTGATGATTCTTGGGAAATAATGGGGGACAAAGGGGATGGGTGATGGTTGGTTTTATTGGCCTTATATTGGGTCATTCATGGAAGGTATGTGGGGACTGATTTGGTGGGTGGAGTGTCAATAAACTCACAAAAGTCTTTTGTCCTTTTGTTATTGTTTATCCAGCCTAGGTGGAAGACACAAGGGGGACAATGGTTGGTCAATGTTGGGGAATAAAAGAGGGGTTGTTTTTGGCCCCCCTAGTTTCGGCCTTACATGGGGACAAAGAGGGGCTTGATTAGGTTTGTGGTTTGACATGAGTTTTGGTCTTTTATGTTTTAATTCAATGAACAAAATCATGTGGGGTATGTTGATGGGTTGTAGTTTCGGCCAGAGGGGGAGAAGAAGGAAGAGGAGAGGAGATTAGCGTTTTGGTGTTGTTTTGGATTTTGGGGTTTTGGTGGAGCCATCCAGGGGTACATCACTTTGATTTTATTTTCCTTTGGGAAATTTAGACATATGACTTTTGAAATGTTGAGAATCTTTGTCCCAAAGTCGCCCTAAAATTGGGATTTGGAATGTTGGTGTAAACGTGCCAATTCCATCAAATTAAAACACCATACATGCATTAAAAATGCTAATTGCTCGTCTTTTGCCATTTATTCACAAAATGCATTTTGGTATTTTAAATTTTAGTAGAAGTTCAAGTCACAACCAATTCCATAGATTGCCAATTTGAATAGTGAGCATTTCAGTTTTACCTGGATTTGGGAATGGGTACTAGATTTTCAACGTTTTGATAGGTCTATATTGTCAAAAAAAATCTAATGGGACTAATTTTGCCTATCCTTATAGTTAGGGGGACCAAAAATGCATTTTACCCATCTTTGCTTGTATCACCATACATTTATGCCAACTTGCATTTTGTGTGTGAGGAACTGAGGCAGGATACTGCAGTTTCCCTTATTAGTCTGTCACTTGTTTTTTCCGATACAATAATTTTGTTAGAAGTTTACACATGAGTGTGAGTTTGTTCTGATATTAGATCTTCTGTTCAATTATAAAAAAATTCTGTATAGTTTAATCCATGATAGGTTTCCTTAGAGATTACTCTTATCAGTTTTCATTTGATTTTCCTTGCTATCAACATTTGGATTTCTTTTTTCATACCTCGATGAATTGTGTAGATTTATTACTACTAACATCATGATGAATTCTTGAAAATTTACTTTTAGGTACTTTTATAGGATTTTATCTGGATCTGAGCCTTTATCAACCTTTGAAAAAGACCGGGCTTGGCATGTTCCTGAGGAGCTAGATCTTTTCTCTATGCAGGTTTATTCATTAAAATATTTCATCATATTACATTTTGATATCACCTTGGCTCTCTGAGTTTGAAAATTATTTGTCTGATTTTCTTCAGCAAGCGTGCAGAATTCTTGCTGGACATCATGATTTCAGTTCCTTTAGAGCCGCTGCATGTCAGGTTAGTATTATCATAAGATCTGCTTAGTGATCTTTTTCGTTGATTCCTTTTTTTTAAAGGCTCAACCTTTCTTTTCTTGGATAAGGTATTGCATATTTCTGGTGATTTATGCTTTTATTCAATTTAATCTTTGATATTTTTTTAATGTTGTGGTTAATCATGCATGACGAGAAGTAGAACTTATGAATTTTTAATGGGTGCTTTTTGGTAAATATAGCACTGCTCCATCCCAAAAGAGCCTCATTTGATCAATGTGTAACTTTTTATTAATTGTAAGTTACAACTGTCCTAAATATTGGACAAGGCGTAGATTTAAAAAGCTTGGAGTCCAGCCCATTACATATAGTAGCCATTATTTTCTGATAAAGGAAGTGTACTAGTTTTCAGAAAGTAAGAAGCTGTTAGCCAAAAAAGTTATAACAACAAAAGCAATATTACTGTAGTTTGTTATTTTTCATGGTTTTCAGAGTAATGTCATTCTGTGGTTACTACTATATCTTCATATTTAACAGGCAAAATCACCAGTCCGAACTTTGGATGAATTAAGCGTTACTGAGGTGGGATCAAGTCCATATTTCCCATCAACTTCAGAAAGGAAACCAAGTGGTGCTGTTATGAATGGCCTGCCTGACACCTTGAATTCTGTGATTCCCAATCTTGAAGGTAGACGTGAGTTTGGGATTAGAAGAAGGCATCGTTGCTTAGTTGTCACAGCAAGGGCACGCTCTTTTCTTTACCATCAGGTTGATCTTATGTTTTTGTTTACCTTCTTCCGTTGGTCTAATAGTTTTTCATTTTCCTTCAATATGTAGAAAAGATGGCATGTTTGGTGTTTTTTCATGTAGTGGGTATAACCGGTTTCATTAGACCAAACATTGGACCATCGAAGGGGAAAAGGTTGGATTTTCTGCACAGAGTTCACGTAGAATGCTTTTGGATGATTATGAGAATGCCAAAAGAGTAGGGGATGGGGTGGAGACACTTTGCAATTAAGAACTTCCATGAATACTAAAAAATTTATCAAACTAGTGTATGTTGGGGTCAGATGTCTTAGTTTTTGAACCAAAAAAAACATAGTGACAAACATTTTTTGTGGATGCCTTCTTCCCGCAATGTTTTATTCTGACATGGAGACTTACTGCCGTTACACGAATGTGAGTATGAGTAGACCCCCATAGCTATCCGGCTCAATCAAGAAAAGGCCATTGAATAACTTCGTAAGGATTCAAACATGGAATCGATTGGTTGCCACGTTGTAACAGTCAACTGGAAACTGCATGACATAACATTGAGTTGAGATAGTTGTTAAAGCCATATTGCATTACAAGATTGACCTTTCAAGGCCATCTTGTTCGGCATGACACATGAAATGATTAATTTTCTTCAGGTGAGTGTGGGTGAGTGCCATAACTGCCATCAATGTATCTGTTAAATTTCATGCTATACAACAATAAAATTCTGTTTTCACCCTAAATTTTGGTGAGTTGAAAGTTTAGCTGTTGAAGCGATATAACTTTTACAGGTTAGACTACTAGTGGGAGCTCTCAAAGCTGTGGGGACTGGGGATCTCACTGTTCCTGATGGTAAGGGTAATAATCTTTTTAGTTCTGCTCGTTAGTTGAGGCCATTCAGGTTAGAATTATATTGATTTTGTTTTTTATTTTATTTGATGAACCGTTTCAGTTCAACGCATCCTCGACGCGAAGACAGTAACTGCTGCAAGCCCAATGGCCCCAGCATGTGGTCTTTACCTTGGACACGTGAAATATGATCTGCCTCCTCCTCCTGAAACTGAAGGATCAGAAAAAACAATATGACACCCATATTGTTTGCACTGAGGTATGTTTTTTCATTTTTTCCACGAAACATAGAAAATCAAGAATTGTGTTATTTTTAAATCACCTTTTTCTTCTTAAAGGTATCAAAACTATGTCATGATCATTTTTGGTAGCTCGCACCCGACACATAAGCACGAACGGGTTTCCATCATAAAACCAATTGTGCAATATGTAGTTATGCACACAATTTGAAGATCTCAAGGTTAAAACATTATTCCAGGATGAGTTTTCCCCCAAAAATTGTCTCTCTGCTCACAAGTAGTGTTAAGATTTGGGTACACTCACTCCCTAGATCCTACTTTTTTGTGAGATTTTACTGGGTTTATTGTTGTTGAGTTAAAGCAGGCTAACTCTGTAGCATTTAGCTTGTTTAGCCAAGCCCTTGCTGCATATGTTGATGAGACCATGGGAAAACATAAAACCCAAACCAGCATTGAAGACTAGGAAAAATCATTATTGGTGGTCAAATACTGTTTTTCTACTCATTGCAAATTTTATGTTATTCTGCACTATGTTGAAAATTGAATATCACTTTCTATCTTTGAATATCTATTCAGTTTTGACTTTTTGCAATCAATCACTTTCAGTGTTTGACCTATAATTCAATAAAGATTACTAGATGGTTTAATAATTGGAAAAATAATATTGTGAGACTATTTTATAAAATCAATCTAGTAAAATTTTTTATTAGAATTTTTTCATTATATTTCACTTCATCATATATTAATAGAAAAGACATGTTTTAGTATTATTTAGTGCTAATTCAAATTAGGAATTTTTTTGAGACGGAAGGGAATATAATTTTTTTTATAAATATAAAAAAACAATCTTTTTATCGAAAGAGAAATGGTGGGTTTGCAAACACAATGATTACAAATTTCAAAAATTTATTATTTGTGAATTTTAATAAAAAAAATTAAGTAGTCTAAAATGATTTTAAAATGAGTTAAATCATAAATAATAAGTTTGTGAAATTTGTGACTATTCTATTTGTAAATCTAGCCTTGCTCTTATCCGAATAAAAAACAAAACTTGACTTGAATTCTAAAATATGCATGCATGTGTGCGTGTGTTTTAATTACTTGTCTTTAGTTTTTCCCCAGCAATAGTACGTGTATTTTGAGCATAAATCACTCCCACCGTCCCTGAAATTTTCATGCACAATGCTCTATTCCAAAAAATGGGTAAATACTTTCTCAGTCTCAATTTATAGTCTCAATTTATAGTGCCTGTTTAAAAATATGATGTTTGATTGAAATTATTTTTAAATTATTTTATATGACAAATGATATATAATTAATAAATAAAAATTACATATTTAAATACTACATCAAAAGATATATAAAACTAGTAATGACTACTATTTTTTATCAAATTGTTAACGAAAATAGATAAAGAAAGTGAATGAAATTTGATCATGTGAATGATAAACAAGTACTATAATTTGATAAAATAAAATATTCTTGTCACCTTTTTTGTGGAATTCTTTTCCCTAATTTTTAAGTGTGCAATTTTTTTTATATTTATATATGAAATTTTAAATAAAATAAACAAAAAAATTAAAATTTGGTCACGTGTTTGCTTTCATGCAGTCTACTTAAAAACAGAAAAAATAATTATTTATAATGGAGTAAAAAACTGGAAACGCGTAAAATATTAGGTATGTTTTTGTTTGTCAAATGAAAGTAATTAAATAGGTCTTCCATTTCTTGATCACCTTCAGACACGCATTTGCAAATTTAAGGACATTTTAAATATGTGCAATTAACCGAAAAACACGTCTTTGAATAATTTTTTACCCTCCATCCCAGAAACATTATTTTGTTACGGAGTATAACTTTGAAGTCTTTGATATTTGATTGAAAATAATTTTAATTAAAATCTAAAACTGAGATTTAAAAAATTTGGAACAAAATGTTTTAAAACTACATCAAAAGCATTGTATTTTATTTTACCAAATTAGAAATAAATATAAAAAAGTGGGCAAAATATGAACATTTAATAATGAACACAAACTTTTTTCTTAGACGGAGGAAAATTATTTTAGATTAAGTCAAGCCACTAATTATACCTATAGTTAGTTGTGACCAAACCAATTATTCAGTTTGCCAAAATTGTGAACCGAAATTAATCCGAAAATTCCAATTATAAACCGAAAACGAAACTAATTGTAAACTGAAAGTGCTTAAAAGCCAACTTTGGTTGACCGAACTTTATTTAACAGAAAAATCCAATTTGTTAGAAATTGGAATGCAGATGAATTACATTTATAAAAAAAAGATAAATAATAATTGGACATTTTCCCATTTAATTAACGTGTCAAACTTCATTTCAATTGGTCAACGTAAGAAACAAGTAATGCAACTCTTGTCCCCAACCCCTTCACCATTTATTACTATAAAATGTACCCTCTCCCATCTTTATTTTTCAATATAATTCCTTCAATTCAATCTTAATTGCCTCAATTCATTATAATAAGATCATATCCTAATAATATATTTTTCCCTTCTTCCACATCATAAATAATGTCCCAAACACCAAACCTCAGATCAAGAACATCGACGTCGTCCGCCCCTCAAGAAGCGGATGCTGAACGAGCATCCAACAACTCGGAAGCACCTCGAAGACTCGAGGTGATTCCAGAGTCTCTGCCGTCGTCGTCGTCATTGTCGCAGCGTGCCTTGGAGAGCACGGCAAACCTCGCCAACCTCCTCCCGACAGGCACGCTGCTGGCATTCCAGCTGCTCACCCCAATCTTCACCCACAACGGGTCGTGTGACGCCGCCACGCGGCCCCTCACCCTCGCCCTCCTCTCGGCCCTCGCCCTGTCATGCTTCCTCGCTAGCTTCACCGACAGCGTGAGGGCGCCGGCGGGAGGGAGGGTTTACTACGGCTTCGCGACTCCGAGAGGGATGCGGATGTTCGACGCTCCCGCGGCGGCAGACGCCGGAATAACCTCGAAGGACTTGGAGAGGTACAGGGTGGGGTTGGTCGACTACGTCCACGCCGTTCTGTCCGTTCTTGTGTTTGCGGCTACCGCCTTGAGGGACAAGAACGTCGTGGACTGTCTCTACCCGAGAGCGGGC